CACTAGGCTATCCTTGCCCTGCTTCCTTCCCCTAGAAGGACCCATCCGCCCCTTAGAATGTATCCAAGTAAACTACTTAGGGTCTTCTGGAATTCTTTTGTCCCCTTCCATTTCCAACAACATACATATATAATGGCTGAGTGTCGACCACATGCCCGGCAAATGGTATAGGCTGCACCCATGAGTTCATATAATCTTCACAGCAACTCCATAAGGTAAGTAACACTGGCCCCTAAAGATACATTCAGTATCTTGTCCAAGCTTTCTCATCTATGAAGGGGAGGTCAGCATGCAAATCTAGGTACCTCTGACTCCAGTCTTGCATGCATTCTAACAGTAACTATCTTTTCTTTTTTTTTTTTTTTTTTTTTTTTTTTTTTTTTTTAGACAGCGTTTCCCTGTAGTCCCAGCTGGCCTGGAACTCACTAGGTAGACCAGGAACTCACAGAGATCTGCTTGTCTCTGCCTCCCAAGTGCTGGGATTAAAGGTATGTGCCACCATGCCCAGCAGTAACTGTCTTTTAGAAGTACAGACAGGCATGCCTGCTGAGTGCCAGACACTGTCCTGGGTCAGGATAGATCAGCAAGCAACAAAGTCTCTATTTCTAAGTAGCTTATATTCCAATGGGAACAAAGAGAGACAATCAACACACACACACACACACACACACACACACACACACACACACCAATAGTCAGTTTATAGTATGTAGTTATGTGTAGTGGTAACTGCCAGAAGAAAAGAAAAAAGACCAGAATAAAGGGAATATGAAGGTAGGTGTTTATAATTGTTTGTTTTGTTTTTGAGACAGTAGTCTCCCTATAGTCCCAACTGACCTTGAACTCCCTATGTAGACCAGGCTGGCCTTCTCAAGAGATCCACCGCCCTCTGCCTCCTGAGTGCTAGGATTAAAGGCATATGCCACCACACCCGGCTCAGTAGGTGGGTATAATTTTAGTCAGGTGGTAAAGAGTAGGCATGACTAAGACAACACTGAAGCAAAGCCCATGGGAGGTGAGAGTGAGCCTTATCCTTATGTCAGTATCTTAACAAAGGGGACTGCAGGCAAAGGGGGAGGCAAAAGGAGGTCAGGGTGGCTGGAACACAGTGAACAAGATTACAAAGAGATGAAATGGAGCAGGGCATGGTGGTGCTTGCCTTTAATCCCAGCACTCAGGGGGTAGAGGGCAGAGGGCAGAGGGCAGAGCACACAGGGAGGCAGATCTCTGAGACAGACGCTGGGCTTGGCCTACACAAGGAATTCAAGGCAAGCTGGGCCTATAGGAAGGCCTGTCACACTCGTGTCAAAAAAAAAAAAAAAAGAATTATGATGGAAGACTGAACAAGCTAGACCCCTGAGGAGTGTTGGGAAAGGAGAGATAAGATCAGCTGTGTGTTCAGAACAGAATATAGAGGAACAATGGCAGAGGCAAAGACTCCCTGTGCACCTGGAGTTGAGACAGATAAAGGGAATTCATTCCTCCCTAGGGCACTGGGTAGATGTCAGGCACTGTTAAAATATATTAGAATCACTATGAATGTTAATAAGTTCTTTAAATCTTGATGTTCATTTTCTTTTGTTAATATTTTATTTTTTTAAATTATTTTATGTGTATGAGTGTATTGCCTGCATGTAAGTGCACCCATGTCGTGCAATGCCCATGGAGGACAGAAGAGGCCGTCAGATGCCCTGGAATTGGAGTTACGGAGAGTTGTTAGCTGCCATGTAGGTGCTGGGATTCGAACCCGGGTCTTCTATAAGAACAACCCATGTTCTTAATTGCTAAGCCACCTCTCCAGCTCCTATTATTTTTATTTAATGTGTATGAGTATATTGCCTACATATAAGTGAGTACACCCATGTCATGCAATGCCGAGGAGGTCAGAAGAGGGCTTTGGATTCCCCTGGTTTGCAGGTGCCATGTGGGTGCTGGGAATCTAATCTGGGTCCTCTCCAAGAGCAGTCAATGCTCTTAACTGCTGAGCCATCTCTCCAGCCCCCTCTTTTTTAAAAAAATATTTTATTATTTTTATGTGTATGTGTGCATTGCCTACACGTAGGTAAGTGCACCCATGTTGTGCAATGCCCACGGAGGACAGAAGAGGCTGTCAGATCTCCCTGGAACTGGAGTTACAGACAGTTGTTAGCTGCCATGTGGGTGCTGGGATTCGAACCTGGGTCTTCTGCAAGAACAGCCATTGTTCTTAACCGCTGAGCCATCTCTCCAGCCCCTGATGTTCATTTCCTTATAACTAAGCAATAACTTTGAGGGATGGAGCAATTTGACTAATTTGCAACTGTTTGATTCTTATCTGTTGTTCTGGCTGCCTTGAGTAAAAGGGCTGTCAAGTCAAACAGCAAGCCAGACTACCCATATGTCAGCACCCTTTGAACATAAAGATGCTTTGAGAAAATTTCACAAAGATGACAGCTGATTGCCTAGGCTCCTAAAGGTATGGCCTCAGCCAGACTGTTTTAAATAGTCTGTACCAGACTTTTTCTAGCTTTGGTGAACTCTAGGTGACCCTGAAACCATTTCTACCTAGGCCAGAGAGGGAGCACTTCATCTGGTAGCCTAGTGGAGCTACTACTGTGACTGGTGCTAAAGAAATAATAGGTAAAAACATAATTTTTATTTGCATGTGAAGTGTGTTGTGACTGTACACCCCTTCCACAGTTATATAAGTAGGCTGTCTCACTTGTGAGTTGGCTGCTTCTCCTGGTGCTGCAATATTAGGCCCAATAAAGGATTCTCTTAAATAGTCTTTTTCTTGTCTACTTTTAGCAGTGTGGGCTAACCTGGTAATACAAAGAAACATCTGAAGCAACAAGGGCTGGAGTCTTCAGCATAGGCCATAAAAGTAACAAGATAGTCAGCTGCTGGACAACTAAGAAGAGGTAGCTCAACAGTTCCAGACTAGTGACCAGGGCAAGAACAAGAGGGATGGCAGAAGGAGGAAACAGAGATGAGGCTAAAGGTAGAAGGCTGTAAAGAGCAGAAGAGAAAATGTAGGCCTTGATCACTGAAAGAATTCTAGGAAGCTGTCAAACCTTTAGGTCTCAGGTGTCCTAGGTCTGGGAGCTAAAACCAACTGTTGTCAAAAGCAGAAGAAGCCTAATACTTAGGAAGACTTATATAAGGGTAAATGCTGTGATGTCTGCTATTTAATTATAAGGGCTACTTCATTTCCCCATTTTTTGTGTATGTTTAAACTTAAACCTAATAGGGGCTGGAGAGATGGCTCAGCTGTTAAGAGCACTGGTTGTTCTTGCAAAAGACCTGGGTTCGAATCCCAGCACCCACATGGCGATTAACAGTGGTCCATAACTCCAGTTCCAGGGAATCTGACGCCCTCTTCTGTCCTCTGCAGGCACTGCATGACACAAGTGCACTTACACACATGCAGGCAAAACACTCATAATTTTTTTTTTTTAATTTAACTTACACCTAATAAAAAAGTTATGGTGGCACATGCCTTTAATCCCAGCATTTGGGAGGCAGAAGCAAGCGGATCTTTGTGAGTTCGAGGCCAGCCTGGTCTACATAATGAGTTCCAGGACAGCTGGGGCTACAGAGAGACCCTGTCTCAAGATGACAAAAAACAAATAAAAATAAGAAAGTTAAAATGAAATGACAAGAAACAAAGTAAGAGTAGGAGCTGCTTTCAGACTGACAATCAGAAGAGGTAGAAGAGTTCTGACAGTATCAAGGAAGGACTTCGGTTCCACCACTACCATAGAGGATAAATCCCTCTTTCCTTACCGGAAAGGTTTACAATTTATAAACCAAATTTCCAAAATGTCTTATGACATTTCCCACACTCTCATGTCTGTATTAGGGACATTTTATGTGTATGAATGTTTTGTCTCCATGCTACATGTAAGTGGCACCAGTATCCTTTAATGCCCATGGAGGCCAGAAGAGGGTGTTGGATTGCCTGGAACTGGAGTTAAAGATGGTTGTTAGCTACCATGTGGGTGCTGAAAACTGAATCTGGGTCCTCTGCAATAACAGCTAGTGCTCTTAACCACTGAGTCATCTCTCCAGACCCTACTAGGGACTTTTTAATTTGCCAATATGTAAAAAGTTGGGGTTAACTCACTGCAAGATTAAATAACAGCTTACAAAGGACATTCAGACCCATTACAATTCTTTTACTCATTCAGTAAATGGCTACTAAAGCTTTACTATGTACACAGGTAGGGGATACAAGGTGAACAAAACAGACACGATCCCTGTCCACACAGGAAGTCATACAGAAGGCAGAAATCAGATAATTCATATACATACACATGAAATGGCAGACACTGGTCAGTCAGGGATAAGGAAAAACAAGACGGTACTAAAGAGTACTAGACATTTTTCTGTGTCGGACACCTGCTGTGAGGGGTGAGCTAGACACAACTTGCTGGAATAGGCAAAAGTGTACAACGAATAAATGGTGTTTGTAAAGTGTTTGTAAAGCCTAGCAAGTACAAGGTATCAAGACAGACGGCCCCCTCTTTAAGACGTAGATACGAAGCCGCGCCCACCCCACTGCAGCACAGCTCCACCCTTCATCGTAGCCGAGACCTAGTCAAACCCCACCTCTCAGGCCGGGTCCCTCATACCCTGTCAGCAGGTTCTTAGAACGTCCCAGATGCCATGCCCCGTCCACCCTGACATCAAGGACCTGTCCTACCTCTAGGCCACACCAAGCCCCTCGACACAACCTCCTTAGTCATGCCCTGTACTGAAGCAAAGTCCCATTACTCAGCCCCTAACAGCACCTCTTCTAGACCCCCTAGACCCTGCCCTCGGCACTCTGACCCTCGACAGCATGCACTCACTCCGCAGCTTCGGGGCACCATGACCCCACCCACCATGCTGAAGACCCGCCCCCCTACAGCTCAGTCCTCTCACCCCGCCCACTTGCCTGCAGTCCAGACCCAACTTTATGCCCCCTCGTATGACGTCACGCCCCCCCCGCAACATCCCGAGGTCGCCCTGCTCCTCACCAGCTCGAACCGGTTGTTGACACAGACGCCTTCCTTACCAGCACCCCTGGGGCGCTGGCTACCCGACCCTTGTTTTGGTCCTTCTTCCTCCGCGTCATCGTCGTCACGGAGGGCAAACTGCAGGGCGTCGGGCCCCAGGGGTTCCTGGCCGCGCTGTTCCCCCCTCAGCCTCCGGAGGGCCCGGCGCGACATAGGACCCGACGGCCAGACTAGAAGGGAGAGGGACAAGGAAGAGCAGCAGAGCTGCGGCGCCTGCGCACTTGCGGCGCGCTGGAGCAAAGTTGGCGTGTCGCGTTTGCGCGCTGCGGCTCTCCGGAACTTCCTCTCAGTTACCAGCAGGGTCAGAGAAGATGAGAGAGCAGCCGAGTTTCTCGCGAGAGCTGGGCCCTGGAGGCGGTGTCGAGCCCGCTGCGGTGCGATGCTTCTTCGGCTTTCGAGGTGTGATGGGTGCAGAAGACAGGCTGTGACGCAGCTGGGAAGGCGCAGACTCAGAGCGTCCCATGCCGATGACGTACGGGTTTCCGGGGCGGTGGGCGGGCGGGGAAGAAGGGCTTATAGGTGGAGCCATGTGAGGGAGGAGTATGCACTGAGGGACGCCCTGCAGGTGACAGGAGCCAGGATAGGGTCCCGGTCCCCGCTGTGCATCGCCTTCCAGTGCGACCTGACACCTGTGTCCCACCTCCAGCTTGCCTCTAGGCTGCCAGGGGACCGTTCTTGCCTTAGTAGAAATAGTCTAAACCTAGGAGCGTCAAGTTAGACTCCTGGACACCTTCCGAGGAGCCAGTCCTCGAACTGGCTTTGTTGCCGCGAACGCAGCGGAGGATGGCCCCTGTACATCCAAGGCTGAATCGGTGTTCTGAAGTCGGTGGCCAGCCCTGCTTGTATCCTAATCTCCCAGGGAGGTTTTTACAATAAGAAGTACCGACTCTGCAGAGTTAGGGTCTGGGTTGCTTTCCTGTTTTGACAGAATCTTGCTGTGTAGCTCGTGCTAGCCTAGAACTTGTTACCAAAACCGGACTGCAGCCGGGCGTGGTGGCGCACGCCTTTAGGAGGCAGAGGCAGGTAGATCTCCTACTCTATATAGGGAGACCCTGTCCAAAAAGCCCAAAACAAAACACAACACAAAAAAAAGAAAACCAGACTGCCTTTGATCTCACAGGGCTCCTTCTGCCCTGTCTCTGAAGTGCGGGATTACAAAGCTGCATCCAGGCCCGGTTTCGGATAGTTTGAAAAACTTTTCAAGACAGGAAAAAAAGACCTCCAAAGTGCAAAATGTAACATGAGCCGGTGTTGGGTTGGTCCCTTTCCAACCTTGACAGCAGAGGAGAGGGCAGCTTTGGTGTGGGGAATGCCCCCCTCCACACTATTGAGGTAGGCCAGGCACTGTTCTAAATTCCTACCTTATCTTGGGAGATAGGTATCCTCCTTTTACAGGTGAAGAAACTGTGACTTAGTAAGCAGCCCAAAGACAACTTGGGTTTATATTCATGTGACTTCCAAAGTCCAAAGGTGGTAGGCAAGGACAGAGAAGGGAAGCAGGGGCAGCATCCCTTGGCACCAGCTGTGCTCTGCACCTACTCCTTCCTCCCCCAGAAGTCTGAATTCCTCCCTGAGTTAGGGAGCTGAGACAGTGTTACTTCTTGCTTGACTGACTTAGCTGTTCTGCCTGAATCATGATAGAACATTAAGGTACATCATAGTGGATGGCCCATAGCTGCTCTCAAGCCTCCCACCTGCTTCAAGTCACCACTGAAGTACCAGCTTCTCCCACAGTCAGGTTCAGTACACCACTCCCATGTCTATTCTGATTGTTCCGGATCAGGCTAGTTTCTGTGTCACCCATGATCAGCTTATAGAGGACAGTTGCCTTGCCTATGAATATAACAGGCGGTCTCAGTCTTGAACTACTTCTCCTGAGACAGAGGTTGTAGACACTGTGAAAGGATACATGAGGCTCAACTTGGAGTGGATTGTCCCTGAACCTCCAGCTCCAGATGTGTCTCCCTGAACTGCTTCAGGCCTGGACATAAAGAAAACTTTGGTTCTAGGGGCTGGGAGAGATAGATGTTAAGAGCACTTGCTGCTCTTGCAAAGGACCCAAGTTCCATTCCCAGCACCCACACGATGGCTCACACCATCTACTCCAGTTGGAGGGAATCTGATGCCCTCTCCATGGGCACCAGGCATACAAGTGGTGTACTTACATACACGCAAGCAAAACACTCATATACTAAAATAATTTTTTTAAAAAATTAAACTTTTGGGGGGCTGGAACAATGTTAAGAGCACTGGCTGCTCTTGCAGAGGATCCAGTTTGATTCCTAGCAGCTACATGGTGGCTAACAACCTCTGTAATGCCAGGTCCAGCGGATCTAATGCCCTCTTCTGTGGGTACTGCATGATACAGGTGCACACATGTAGACAATACACTCATACACATAAAATTAAAAAAATTTTTTTTGGTCTTTTTGAGACAGGGTCTCCCTGTAGTCCCAGCTGGCCTGGAACTATGTAGACCAGGCTGGCTTTGAACTCACAGAGATCCGCCTGCCTCTGCCTCCTAAGTGCTGGGACTAAAGGCGTATGCCACCACGCCTGGCTTAAAATAAAAATATTAAAAAGAAAAAGAAAAGAAAAAAAACTTTGGTTCTAAACTACCTCTATTTGGCATGGTTGCCAGTAGCCAAGACTGAGGCTAGTTCAGTGGGCTGATATGCAACCTATGGTTGGCAAGTGAACAGTAATCCCAAGGGCAACAAGAAGACAAATACAAGCTGCTCTCCTGTCAAAGCAGCCTCGGGGCAGTTACATGGGGCTGCACAGCCTGTAGGTATTGCCCCTCAGTTCAACCCAGATGTTCCCAAGATGTTCTTTTATTGTTTTCATTTGTAAGTCTTCTGTGGGGATGAGAACCTGAATGTGATCTGTGGTTATTTCTGAGTCTGTACATCATCAACTATACTTAGTTCCCAGGAGCAACTACTTAAGAGAGTACTGCACAAACATGAGGGTCTCCTTATTTGAGACTATATAGCTCAGGCTGCCCCAGAACTTGCTATGTAGCCCAGACTAGCCTCAAATTCATGATCTAACTCTGCCTCCCAAGTGCTGAGATTACAGGTATAAGCCACCATACCTGGTCCAAACATGAGTGTTTTGTGGATAGAGTCTCACTATGTAGCCCTAGCTAGCCTGGAACTCACAGAGATCTTCCTGCCTGCTTCCCTAGTGCTGCGATTAAAGTTACACATCTAGCCAAACATGAATGTTTTCCTTGCTGGTTGGGTGACAGCAGCAATTCCTGACCCTCTCTGCCTTTCTTTAAAAAAAAAGACAGGCAGTCTGTGAAGTATTCAAGTGCTGGGGGCTAGCTGTTTTTATTGGCTGCTCTAATTTCATATATGATTCATTCCCACAGCTTCATTTGTCACAAGTCATTTCCCATAGGTGCCTCCTCCAGCTCTAGGCAGAGTATCAGAGCCGAGAGTCAGCCAATAGGCTTCAGTTGACGTTTTGGCATATTCTGGGATAAACTGTCAAATCCTTTTACCTTACTGAACCTTTGTTTCCAAATCTGCAAGGTGGGGTGATAACAGAACCCATTTGAGTGCATGTACATAGGCAGGGTGCTTAGTATAGGCCCTTCCTGGAAACTTCGGTGTAACTATTTCCCCTGGGCTTAATTAACATGACCAGGTAGCTGTGTTAACTTACAGACTGCCTTGGCCTTCAGTCATAGCCATAAAGTAAGTAAAACAATACAATACAGTAATGATAGGTAGGTCTATGGTAACGGTTATGGGGTTATTAACATTCCCTGGTAGGAAGGGGGTCACTAGAACCTCACCTGAGATTGCAGCCACCCCTCCACTCTGCCTCCCAGCTCCACCATGGTCTTAATATAGGAATGGAAAGTTGGTTGGGGGTGGGAATTCCAGTGGTGAAGCTTTTATGAGTTATCACTTATGCTGAGATGGGGCTCTGGGGTGATACAGCTACCTGAGAGTCACTCATGTTCCCATAAGTAACCTTCACTATGCTTTTGCAACCTCAATAAACTCACTGGTTCATCAAGTGAGATTTAGGTGGAATCATTTCTTTGATATGTTAGTGCCCTATATGGAATTTCCTCATGTCTCCCAAAGAAAAGTCACACAACATCAGCAAGGGACAAAAATCAAGCTTGACTTGGGGTGCCTAGGCTGTCTCCTATGAGAATCCCACCCACTCAGAGGCCTCCCAGATGCTGATGGCTGTTTGAGCACCCTGAAGGACAGCAGAGGCAGACCTGGTACTTAATTCACCTGAGAACCAAGGTACCTTGTCCCAGATTGGACATCGACCCAGGGAAGGGAGGCTGCCACATGTTCACTACTGAGGTGAAGAGAACAAGGGCACGGACAGGAGAGCTGTGCTAAGAGCCCCAAGATCCAGAGTCCCCTGCCCTCCCTCCATTCTCCTGATTCCTTCCCTGCCTTTCCAAAGAGTCCTGAGAGGAAAGGGAAAAGGTGGGTCCTGGAGAAATCCTGGCTCCAAATGAACTGTGGGGCAAGACAATGTATATAAATATATAGGCTAGGTGTATATATTATAAATCTATATATATATATATATATGTATATATGTACATGCGCAAGGTGGTAGGCCTCAGCAGTGTTCCAGGATGGGGAGCAGGGTGGCACAGCCTGGTACAGGCCTGGCCATCAAGATAGTTACTGGAAGTTGAGAGTCCTGGTGTTTGGGATGTAGAGGGACTGGATCTGGCGGCCGTGGCGTGGAGTGGCATTGAGGACATCCACACTCTTGCGGCTGGAACATACTACTTCAGCCACGAAGCTGGTGCAGTCACTGCAAACATCCTTCAGGACACAGCCATGGGCATAGATGTGGGGAAACTCCTCCTCCACGCTCCGCCACTGAGGTCCCTGCAAGGATCTGGAGTAGAGAAATGTCAGGAGAAGACTATGAGGAGAGAAAACCCTATCAGGGGCAGGATCTCCCAGAGCCCTGGCCCTGCCACTTCAGAATCCCAAATCTAGCTTTTCATGTCCACAGCCTCCCCCCTCCAAGCTGCCTGCTGCCTCCTCTCTCCTTTTTTTGTGGCTCATCCACAGTTTTAGACTGAGCACACGTGTCAGAGTGCATTCATTAACTTAAGGCACTGAAGTCTTGGACCCAAAGCACCAAACTCAATTCCATACTGCTCTGCCTCCAGAGCCCTGCCAAACAACCTGACTTGTGCCTCAGGTAAATGTCTTGCATTTCCTTGAAGAGGAGTGCCGAAGCCAGTCCTACCCCAGGTTCTGAGCTACTTTAAATTCTCTTTTAATGATTTATTAATTTTTTGTACAAACTTTGATTTCTGGTATGTTTACTGATGTGTGTATAGTGCCTGTGAAGGCTAGAAGAGGATGACAGAGCCACCATGTAGGTGTTGGGAGTTGAACCCAGGTTCTCTGGAAGAACAGCAAGTACTCTTATCTCCTGAGCCACCTCTTCAGGCCCATAGCTACTTTAAATTCTTGACCACCATAGGACACTAGCAACAAGGTAAAGAAACATACTGGAAGGCATCTCTCCTCAGCATTGGCAAGACTTTTGTAGTTGACACCCTCTGAAAACTCTCAAAACCCAGTGTGTAGACAGGGATGTGTGCACACTTCTTGGAAGGCATCTTCATCTGCAACACAGGGAGAGGTATGGACAAGGCACCTCAGAGACCATTCATATACACTCCATTTTCCCCAGCCTTGGGCCCAGAGATTGAAAGTGGTGCCCCCTACCCTCATCCATGAGTCTCCTTATCATACCCTAACCACATTTCCTGCTCATCCAAATAGGAATTTCTTAGGGGTCAGGAACTGTGTCTTTTCATACCATGAAGAATGCAGGCCAGGCATGGTGGTGCTTGCCTTTAATCCCAGCACTTGGGAGGCAGAGGCAGGTGGATCTTTGTGAGTTGGAGGCCAGCCTGGTCTACATAGTGAGTTCCAGGACAGCTGGGGCTACAGGGAGACCCTCTCTCAAAAAGACAAAAAAAAAGTAGTATCTGGTCCTGCACACAATCAATATTTCCATTGACAAGGATACAGTGTTCCCATGATCAAGATTATAAAGAAGAGGGGATGGAGAGATGGAGAGATGGTTAAGAGCATTGACTGCTCTTGCAGAGGACCTGGGTTCAATTCCTAGCACCCACATGGTGGCTGCAAACTGTCCTTAACTCCAGTTCTAGGGGCATCCATAGCCCTCTTCTGACCTCCTCAGCATTGCATGACACAGGTGCACTCACATACATGCAGGCAATACACTCATACACATAACAATAATAAAATATTTTTTAGAAAGAGATGATAAGAATGTAAGAACAGCAGGTTCTTGTTTCTGAGTTGAGGTGTGATGGTCAGTACACTTTTGAGAGTTGCTATCCATTACTTCTGTGGAAGCATAGACCCAAATGCAACACAGCCTTGCCAGAAGCTTCCATGTCAAAAAGATTTTTACAAGTGGGGAGAAAGTCTACTTGCTTCCAGCCTACACACATAAAATGCTTAAAACAAACACGTTTTGTTTTTGTTTTTGTTTTTTTTCTGTCTTTTTGAGACAGGATCTCCCTGTAGCCCCAGCTGGGATTAAAGGCATGAAGCACCACGCCTGGCTGTCTATGAGGGTTTTTAAAAACTGTATACTTAGGCCAGGAACAGGGGTTTCCACCTGTAATCCCAGCACTTGGGAGACAGAGGCAGGAGAAATAGGAATTCAAAGTCATCCTTGGCTACATAGGCTATATGAGATCCTATCTCAAAAAAAAAACAAACCAAACCAAACATGCAAACAAAACAATTGCAGTCTTGGAAAATGTAAGAAAGGATTCTTCTTGGAGGAAGGGAATAGATGAAGTACTTGGTAAGGTGAAAAGGGCAGGATAGAGTATCCAACACATCCATAGGAAATTTTCCTACCATGTACCACATCACCAATACTTGGAAGGTTCCCCAAAATTCTCACCTTTACACTACAGGAAGTGCAGACAGCTCTGGAAGGGAATGGAAAGGCAATGTCAGTGGTAAGGAAGCCCAGGAAGGAAGAACAACATAATTCCAGCTTTCTTGTCTGTCCCACATGTCCCAGTCAGCTATTCTCGCCTTTGGACTGATCTTTGGTCACTTCAGTACTTTATTTTCATTTTACTTCGGAACTTTTCTTCTCTCTTGGATCACACCCATTTGCCTCTGCATCTCAGCTCTCTCAGGAATATCTGGCCTGGAGCTTTCTCCGTATCAGTATATGCCTGATGGCCTCTCACCACAAAAGCACTTTCTAAACAGAGGGATTTCAAGTAAGATGTTCAATTTTAAGCAGCAGCTAGCTTTTTTTTTTTAAGCCCCAGCTAACCTGGAACTCACTATATAGACCAGGTTGGCCTCGAACTCACAGAGATTCACCTACCTCTGCCTCCCAAGTGTTGAGACTACAGGTGTGTGCCACCACACCCAGCAGCTTTTTTTTTTTTAGCTTCCATAACCAGGTTCAGAAGTAAATGCCTGCCAGGCATGGTGACAGAGTCCTATAATTCCAGTATTGAGGTAAGAAGATTGTGAGTTTGAGGCTGAGCTAAGCTACATAGTGAGATCCTGTCTTATTATAAAAAAAAAATTCCAGGGGCTGGAGAGATGGCTCAGAGGTTAAGAGCATTGGGCTCTTGCAGAGGACCTGGATTCATATCCCAGCACCCATATGGAGGTTAAACAACTATCCAGTTGTACAACTATCCAACTGTAACTCCAGTTCTAGGGGATCTGACAACCTCTTCTGACCTCAGTGGGCACTGCACAGCACAGGTGCACCTACCTACATGCAGGCAAAACATTCATACACATAAAATAAAAATAATAAAAAAAAATTTTTTTTAATTCTCAGGCTGGAGAGATTAGTGATTAAGAGCGCTGACTATTCTTGCAGAGGACCTGGGTTCAGTTCCCAGAACCCACATGGTGGCTAACAACTATCTTAACTCCAGCTCCAGGGGATCCAAAACCCTCTTCTGACCTCTGAGGACATTGTACACACAGGTATGCTTACATACATGCAGGCAAAACACTCTTACTTACACATAAAATAAAAATAAATAAAATTCTTTAAAATTTTTCTTCTTGTAAAAATTCAATCCAGGGGCTGGAGAGATGGCTCAGCAGTTAAGAACACTGGTTGTTCTTGCAGAAGACCCGGGTTCGAATCCCAGCACCCACATGGTAGCTAACGACTATCCATACCTCCAGTCCCAGGGGATCTGACAGCCTCTTCTGACCTCCGCAGGTATTGTATGACACGGGTGCCCTTACCTACATGCAGGCAATACATGGATACACATAAAATAAAAATAATAAAATTTAAAAAAATTCAATCCAAAGCAGGGCATGGTGGTACATGCCTTTAATCCCAGCATTTGGGAGGCAGAGACAGGCAGAGCTCTGTGAGTTCAAGGCCAGCCTGGTCTACACAGCAAGTTCCAGGCCAGTTGGGGCTACAGGTAGACCCTGTCTCAAAAAGACCAAAAAAAAAAAAAAAAATCCAAAATTTATACAGCCCTTCTATAGAGATCCAGTCTTCAGACTGTTCTAGGCACATACCAACAAAATACATAATATTTTACAATGAAATGAAACACTGCACAAACTATTCTATAACTGTACCAGGGGCTCTTACCCACATTACTGGAAGTTTTCAAAACTACATTTCTAAAACAGTGAACCAACAAAGATGTCCTGTAATTAATTCTCTTCAATAACCCCCTACATTTCAGCTGGGGATGTGATCCAATAGTGTCTTAGGTTCAATCTCCAAAATGAAAAGAAAAAAGAGAGAGAAAAAAAGAAAAAAAAAAACCAAATTCCTGGGTTAACCCAATTTAATTCCATTACAGTTGGGGAACATATTTTATATGAATTGAATACTTTTTGTTTTAAATATTTATATTTTTATTTTATATGTATGGATGTATTGCTTGGATGTACATAAGTGTACCCGTGTTGTGCAGTACCCACAGAGGTCAGAAGAGGGTGTTCCATTCCCCTGGAACTGGAGTTACAAATGGCTGTTATGATTCTACTTTGGTTTTGTTGTTGTTGTTAACTTTCTAACAAAAACTGCTTTTTTCAGTGGTTGCTTTGGGGCTTATAATATGTAGCTTTGACTTACCACAATCTACCTTCAGGTATTATATATACCATTTCATGCGGAATGTAAGAATTGCAATTTCCCTCTTTACCTAGCCTTAATGCTGTTATATTTTACTTATACACTTATATATTGTTAAAGATCCCATAATATATTGTTATTTCATTATTTTGTTGTTCTTTTTGAGATAGGGTCTCACTGAGCCCTGGCTGGCCTAGAACTTGCTATAAAGATGAAGCTGTTCCTAAGTGCTAGGATTAAAAGTGTGTGTTGCCTTACCTGGCTAATATGTTGCTATAAATTCTGGGGTTTTTTTGTTTGGTTTTAGTTTGATGATGCTAAGAATCAAACCCAGAGAAATCCTCTATCACTAAGCTACATTCCCAGCCCTGTTTTGGTTTTCTATATGCCTGGTATTTGATTGAATGCCAAATATTTTTCCATGCTATGTGTTGTGTATTTTTGTGTTCCTGTTCTTGACCTTGGCTCTGGAAAACAGTAAAATACTTGGGAAGACTTTGGCCCTTTCATGTCATAGTTTTATCATTTGTTAGTCGGGCCTGACTGGACAATGCTTAGCTTGGGGTTACTTATTCTGTTTTGTTGTTGTTATTTTTGGTTTTCTTTCATTTTTTTCTTTTTTGTTTTGTTTTGGTCTTTTTGGTTTATTTATTTTTATTTTTTAGGTGTATGAGTGTATTGCCTGCATGTATGTAAGTGCTCCCATGTCATGCAATGCCAGTGGAGGACAGAAGAAGGTACCAGATTCCCTGGAACTGGAGTTATGGACAGTTGTTAGCTGTCATGTGGGTGCTAGGATTCACACCCAGTTCTTCTGCAAGAACAGCCAGTGCTTTAAACTGCTGAGTCATCTCTCTAGCTCCATTTTGGTCTTTTTGAGACGAGGTGTCCCTCTAGCCCCAGCTGGTCTGGCACTTGCCATGTAGACTAGTCTGGCTTTGATCTCACAGAGGTCCACCTGCCTCTGCTTCCCGAATGCTGGGATTAAAGGCGTGTGCTACTATGCCTAGCAAGTGGCTACTTATTATATACTAAAGGCAAGACCTTCCTGTGTTTTCCATTTAGTACCCCTTAAATTCTGCCATATTGGGCTATGGCTATTGCTAACCCTAAGTACCATTCCTTTAAATCTGTAGGACAGAGGTAAGTAAACTTTTAAGGCTTTCCTGCAAAACAGTAAACATATTAGGTATGGTTCAGTGAATAACAAGTGAGTGATGGGTATGGCTACATTCCAATAAAACTTCATTCACAAAATAAGCAGGGAGCCAATGGCTATAGGCTGCATCTTGACAATCCCTGCTTTAGGATTAGGATGAAGATGCTTCTTTTCCCCACTATGGTCTTCTTTCATGTATCTGCTACAGACTCAGGTACATCTCTGAGGCAGATCTCTGAGTCTTCCTGTGCTGCTTTCTTCTCTCCTAGCCCTGCTCTGAGAACTCCAGCTGCCCTGGCCTCCTGTCCCAGCTCCAATTCATGAGGAGAAACTCTCTCGGCCAACACAAGTTCCATCATCTGCTTTCTATAGTTGCCTGATGTCCAATGTCTTAAAAACCACTGTTTTAGCCTGGCATGGTGGTGCATAGGACTTTAATACCAGCACTTGGGAGGCACAGGGAGGTGGATCTCTGTGAGAGATAGAGGCCAGCCTGCTCTACATAGAAAATTCCAGGCCAATAGGGCTATAGGGGGATCCTGTTGAAAAAAAAAAAACAAAGCCAACCAATCAAACAAAAAAAAAAACATTGTTTATTATCCTTTGTTTGTTTCAGACTATTTATGCTAGAAGGTGGCTGTTATCCCATTTTGACTAAAAATGGGTGTCCATTAGATATTTAAATTTAACCTAAGCCAGGCATGGTGGCACTTACCTATAGTCTCTGATACTTAAGAGGCTGCCAAGGCAGGTGGACCATAAGGCCAGCCTGGGGTATAGGGTAAGACCCCGTCTCAAAAAAAACAAACAGGAAAAAAGAAAACATTGAATTGGCTGGATGTGGTGGCATTTATCTATAATTCCCACATTTGGAAAGCTAAGGCAAGGAGATCACAGGTTCAAATTCAACCTGAGCTACATATCCAGATCCTGTTCCAAATAACAACAAAACCACACAAAAAAATAAATAACAAACAAATAAATAAAAATTAAAAACATGGAATTCTTCCCTAGAAGGGTGATACTGTAGACATTAAGAAAGGACTGCCATCAGTGTCCCCACAGCAGAATGGGAAAAGTCTACACCAGTACCCATGTGCTGGCAGTGTTGTAAACAAACATGTTAAAGGGCAAAATATCAAGTACTCCTCAAGCCAAGACAACAACAACATCTGAAATATGTGAAGGAGGGTGATCAGGAAAAGAACGCTAACGAGAAAGATACCTGGGTTCAAGTGAAGAACCAGCCCGTACCACCAAGAAACACCCATTTTTGTAAGAACTACTGAGAAGGAGCTGAGCTGCTAGAACTTGTTCCCTATGAAGTCATTGCATAGCAGGTGAAAGAGCTCTAGACTGAAATAAAATTCCATTTCTTAGTCATACTAATCACATCTCATGGTGTGTGGTACATGACAGAACCTTCCTACAACCTCAGGAAGTTTGAACACTGCCATCTCCTCCCCGTTGTTGACTAATGTCTGTAGCCAAAGTGCTGACAGAGGCTCACCTCTTGCAGAAGAGACAGGTAGGAGGCCAGGAGAAGAGGGGAAACTTTGCTCGGCAGCAGCAACAAATCTGAGAGAGAGGCCTGGTTAGAACATGGCTGTGTAAAGCCATCAAAGCCCAACTCAATCCTCACAAGTGCCTGCCTCAGAGGTTTCACCCAACCACTGAGCAAACTCCAGAGACCTAGTCCCACTCTCTACTGCCCAGGATGGCCCCAATCCTGCTGCCATGGCACCCAAGACTTACCTTCCCCCTCTTCAGACTGCTGAAGAGCTCCTTGTCCTGCAGGAACTTTTCCATCTCAGCCTTCACTAGCACACGGCGCACATCCACCACTTCCTCCACAGTCAAAGCCAGGCTCTCCACAGGGTGGCTGAACTCCTGAGAAGGGGAGGTGGTAGCAGGGTCCTGCTTGCTCAATCCCAGGGACAAGGTTTTTCAGGCAAGGGTCATTCCACTACTCTCCTTTCCCAGGAACCCCATAGCTCCCTGGTTTCATTCCAAACAATCTGGCAACTTCCTAAAGTTTGTACATTAGTTCATCCACTCCTTAGAGCTGGACCTGCTCCCAGTTCTTCTTCAAGGAGGCCCTCATGCTACAGCAAGATCCCCCAGTCCTGTGGCTCCAGGATTCTGCCCTTGCCCTCAGTGACCCCATGTCAAAAAATCTCTTCTCCATCCCCTTGTTTCTTCAAGACATTCCCATCTGCAAACACATACTATGGTTTTAATCTTCTCTCTTCTTCAAAGCTTTCACCATTGAGCTTCCTAACCCTCTTCTGCCCCTGATCTATACTCTCCCTAGGAGCTCTGGTACCCTCTGCATAGCCCAACTCTGAGTGTGCTCCTCTGAACTCAGCAAGTCACCTGTCCTAACTGGCTTTATGGTAAGTGATCCTGGTTTTACTTTCCTAGTGCTTGGCAAAGAACTTGACACTGGACCTTTCTAATCCTCATTTTTCTGTAAAATGGGGTTGGTTTCAGCACCCCTGAGGCAGTACAATTTTATCATGGTGCCTGGCACACAGAGCTTAAAATACTACTGTTGTTCCTGGGTTGGGGTAGGATCTAGCATTCCAGGATACCATGGGCGTGGAAAGTGGATTTTTTTTTTTTTCTCAGATGTGTTGTGGGTAACTCTGTGTCGGGCTGTCTGGTCTTGTAACAGCATCTGAGGCTTCTATATGCTCCAGCTGATCTGAAGCATTGGGATTTCTGACTTGTTTTTATTGCTAGTTACCTGTGGCCTTTAGTTTCCATATCAGGCACAGAGAGACTAACAGCCACCTCCCAGGGGCTCAGGCAGGACTAAAGATCACTAGGTTCTCTGATTTTGATAGCCAAACTTTCTAGAAAGTAATTCTGAGATCTCAGAACTGAAGAAACAGTTTGGGACTTGTGGAATTTAAAAACATGCCCCTCCCTTCCTTGAGCAAGAACTGGTCCTTAATTTTTTAGCCTTGAAAATGACTAGATTTGATAAAACTTGCATTGATTAGTGACAGTGTGTCACTGCTGAGACTTAATCATAAAATATGCTGGAGCTTCTAGTCATCATGGCTTAAGCATTCTCTAACTGACAGGTCGCGCAGCCCCTGTTTAACTTCCCACTTGAAACCTCTGAGAGACACTAGCCAGGGCCCCTAGTTAAGCTGTTTCTGAGCTCCATGTGGAACAAAGCAAATTTGAGGTCAACCTGGGCTACATAGTTCCAGAGTGGTCTTGGCTACAATGTAAGACCCTGTCTCAAAAATAAGTAAAATAAAATATTTTAAAAAGCTGCTGCTTCTGGATTCTTTTTTAAAAATTTTATTTATTATTTTTATTTTATGTGTATGAGTGTTATGCCTGCAGGTAAGTAAGTGCACCCGTGTCATGCAATGCCTGTAGAGGACAGAAGAAGATATTGGATCCCCTGGAACTGTAGTTATGGACAGTTGTTAGCTGCCATGTGGGTGCTGGAATTCGAACCCAGGTCTTCTGCAAGAACAGTCAGTGTTCTTAACCACTGAGCCAGAAACTGTGAGTTTTTTTTTTTTTTTTTAATTTTAAGATGACAAATTGTGAATTTTTTTTTTTTTTTTGAGACAGGGTCTACCTGTAGCCCCAGCTGGCCTGGACTTTACTATGTAGACCAGGCTGGTCTTGATCTCAGAGATTTCACCTGCCTCTGCCTCCTGAGTGCTGGAACAAAAAGACATGTGCCACCAGACCTGGTTTGAAGTTTTTCATAGCTTTACATTTATTGGTTTATCTTGTATATATGTGTAAGCACATATAGAGGCCAAATGACAACTTTAGGGAGTCATTTTCTTCTTCTACTACGTGTGCATTACCTGACAATTAAAATTAATAATGCTCGGGGGCTGGAGAGATGGCTCAGCGGTTAAGAACACTGGTTTTTCTTGCAGAAGACCTGGGTTCCTGGGTTTGAATCCCAGTACCCACATGGCAGCTAACTGTCTATAACTCCAGTCCCAGGGGATCTGACAGCCTCTTCTGACCTCCGCAGGCATTGCATGACACGGGTGCACTTACCTACATGCAGGCAATACACGCATACACATAAAATAAAAATAATAAATAAAAAAACTTTTAAATTAATAATGCTGCCTTATACTTAATGTAGAACTTTTATACCTTCAAAGCATTTCAAAACCTGTTTTAATTCAAACCTCAGAAAGATGATAGTGCTGACCACACAGTTAACCTTCCTCCTCATACCTGCAGGATGCCTCTGTGATCCACCAGCAGCATTTACCTCATTTAATAAAGTTTCACACTGAAACTCAAGCCCAAATGGGGGCTCCAAGAGCAACTGTTAGATCCTCATACTCACAAGTCACACAAAAGTCATAACTGATGAGACTCAGCAACATCCCAAAGTCTCAACTGACAACTTACTCCCTTTAACAGTGTGTTACCCTCAAGGCTCAGGGTGCAGGGTTCACTCCATTGGAGTTAGCCAAAACACTTCAGGCCTACCAGGTCCATTTGCAAGGCTATTCTCTGGGTTTAGGGCTGCAGTGCCAATGTGTACCAGCAAGTGGCAGAGAAGACAATCTCCTCAGATACAGGGACTGGACCCTGGCACCCTCAGACAAAGACAAACCCAGCCATACCCTGAGGAATGCTGCCATCTCTTCTGAGCACCAAGCTAGTGTCCTGTCCTGGGAAAGGTTGAAGATGGTACTGGAGAGGCCATCCAGGGCAGCCTACCCTGTCACTCACCAGCCATAGGTGTCTGGTATCTGGTGCAGAAGCCTCAGGTCTGTCCATTGAGTTCAGGTTGCTGGGCATAGGGGATCTGGAGCCAGGCTGAGACTGGACACTCATAGGACAGGAAACTGGAGGAAGAACACAGGCCCATGAAGACCACCTATGAGGAAGGCTGTGCCAAATGGACAAAGAGTACAGTGTGTGCTTCTCCCATGGGGGTGTGGAATAAGCTACAAATCAAGTGGAAAGCATATGACCCATACAGGAACCTGTGCCAGGAACCCATGCAGTTCAGAGGGCCATGTGGTATCCTTGAAGGGTCCTCATATCTGAGCTTACACACCTTCCAGGTTGGGAGCACATGGTATAGAGGGATCTCAGCACACACTATAAGTGCCTCACCACAGGAAGACCTTCCTTTCTGGACCAGGTCACAAACTGGAGACTCAAAGGTCTGGAGGTGCAAGGTTAGCCTCCATGGGGGCCTGTGAGTCTGATAACAGCCGGAAGGTGAGTATGATATTTAGAACTAGTCTAACCCGAACCTCTTAATACAAGAAGGTGAGTCTTTGTAACCAAATGGACATCCTAAGAATGTCCAGAAAACTGCTGGGATGCTCATGGAAACCTCATGGAAAGCCAAGGATTCCTGGCCATGCTTGGTAATTAACAACCTATGTCCTGATAGCCCTTGGTTCAGCCGCTAAATGGTGGGACTAACCCTACACAGCCAGGCCAGCAGGCATTTTTAGCTCTCAATGGGAAAAGAACTAGTGGCTTATGACAAGTCAGGTGCTTCAAGAAAGTCACCTGTCCACAGGAAAAAAGGGATAAAAGATCTAGCCAGCTTTCTTACTGCATCTCAGGGTGTTAATAATAATCTCCAAGTAGCAGAATCATGAGGATTTAAGTTTTTTAGAAAATGTTTTTCAGTGAATATGGACTGTTTAGTTGATTTAAAAAAATTCTTGCCAGGTGAGATGGCACACGCCTTTAATCCTAGCACTCAGAAGGCAGAAACAGGTGGACCTCTGTGAGTTCAAGGCCAGGTCTATATAGTGAGTTCCATGGAGACCCTGTCTCAAAAAGACCAAAAAAGGATTTCTCTTGTAGAAAAGGGGGGACGTCTGCCCCAGGTGGTGACAGACTCAGCATTCTCCTTGTAAGCATGATCTCCACATCCAGGGTACTGCCTGCTCAAGAAGATGTGGGTTTGAGACTGTGACACAATGTACATGGGATGGACATGACTGGAAGAGCAGGTGGGGGTAAGAGGCAGCACTTACCCTGGTCTCCAGTGCTGGGCTTCCAAGTATGCATGCTACCTGCCCGGGGCCGGGGTAGCTCTATTCCTCCTGGGGGCTGAGTGACTGACTGCAGGCCAGATGCTACCTCACTCCGAAGCTGAGCCAGGTCATGTTCCGAAAAAGAGCGATCTCGCTTCAGTGTCACCTCCCCACATGGAGACTCTTCTTCCTGAAAACATGTCAGGTACAGTCCTATCCTGAACACTGCCCCCAGTCTTGACCACTGTCCCTAGTACCTCCTGCTCACCTCTGGTCTGAGGCAGTTGACCCAGGGGTGCTAATGGACCCACAGAGACCCTAGGTGTCCTCTATCTATGGCTAGCCCTCCTATCTTCTGAACAGTTCATGGCAAGTGCCTCAAGAACCAAAACATTTCCTGAGGTTTTCCAGAAAGTCCTGGATAAGACAGTCCTCTTGCAAGAAGCTGACCTCTGGCCAGCGCTGCTGAGGTCTTTCTCCCATCCTCTTGAGACAGGAGGTATGCTCTCAGAGGATGGCAATAGTGGGCTAGGAAACCTTAGTGGAACCAGCTTCTCCAAATCAACTGAGGGCTGCCCAACTTCCTGGCCACAAGATGATAAATCACTTCTACTTGTAGCCACCCCACCACCACCCTTTTTTTGTTTGTTTGTTTGTTTTGGTGTGTCCAAAGGTCACTGTCCCACTGACCCAAGGCTACTTCTAATCAGCAAAGATGGGGAAGGGGTCCACCTGGTATCCCCCAATCAGCTGCCCTGGGCAGAGGATGCCCACTCAGATGATGAAACTGGTTCCCACCCTGTTCAGCCTTTCTCAGCCCCTCTGCATGGTCTTTTGAGGAATCCTTATTCTCTGACCTCAGATGTGTTCATTTCTTCCATCTCTGCTAAGGTGGGGGCTTTGAGCAGAACCCGGGGCCTTGGACGTTGGCTTCCATTCCCAGCATCTGTGGCACACAGGTTGATGCAGGAAGTGGACTTGATGTCCCCGGAGCAGGCATTGAGGATGCAGGGCAGAGAACCAAACCCTGATGGCAGGAAAAAACCAAGGCAAGAGTGGGTGGTGAGTGGGAAGGGAGAAGAAGTCAGCATGGGGATGAACAGTGAGCATGGAAGACAAGAAGACCAGGGTAAGAATGGATGTTGATCAAGGTGGGTGAGGAGCACAGGGCGAGAATGGATGGTAAGAAGAGAAGACAAGGAGGTCTTGGCAAGAGTAGAGAGCAGGGAGGACAAAGAGGCTAATGTAGGAGTAGACCGTGAGCAGAGAGGATGAGGAGGCCCAGTGTGGACCTCATAAATACTACTTGGTTTGATTTTCTACATAGAGGGAGAAACTAAAGGTTGATCTAGGTAAGACCATCATAACGCCCCAAGTATACAGTGAAAACATGGCGGTGCGTGCCTTTAATCCTAGTACTTGGGAGGTAGGGGCTAGTAGATCTCTGTGAGATCAAGGAAAGCCTGGTCTACATAGTGAGCTTCAGGCCAGCTGGGACTATAGGGAAACCCTGTCTCAAAAAAAATATAAAGAACAACCCTAAATGCACGCGTGTGCGCGCGCGCGCGTGCACACACACACACACACACACACACACACATAAAGAAAAAAGAAAGAAGATAGATCAAGAGGCTCCATTCAGGAGCCTTTGAGGATGACAGTCCTAAGATCTGATCTGTACACTGATCAGAGGAAGCAGGAGAACCCAGCCAGATCCACTGGGAGGTGTCTTCTCACCCATCATGCCCTCTCCTTGCTCACCACGAGTACCCAAATGCTGGCTCCCCATTGGACGGAGTCTCCGTTCTTGCTTAATTTCCTCCAGAATCTTTTCATGCAGTGTCCTCTGTTTCTGTGGTACAGGGCGAAGCCGTCTCTCTGAGACCTGACAAAGTGACACACCAGGTAGGAAGAGGAGGAATGTGGTGATGTGGGCCCACTCTGGAGTAGTGAAATGCTGGAGGAGTCCAGGAGACTCAGCACTACATCTCAGCAACCCAGAAGGAAGCACTACCCCCGGGGGCCTCTTTAGACACCTGGTGTGGAGTGCAAGTGGCCAAAAGTTCTACCCAAGAGGAAGAAGACACAGGCCCACAAGTCCTGTGCCAAGAACCATGCCTAATCTACCAACCAACAGGCAAGAGGGAAAAGAACCCTCACTGGCCTCCCTCAGAAAGCAGATGTTCTAAGATACCTTCCAGGCTGTCTACAGGGTAACACCAGACCCCAGGAAACCCCAAGGAGGAGGTGTAGAGCTGGTACCTGCTTCAGTGGAGGTCGTGAGCGGATGAAGTCAAGGATGAGTTCATGTGCATCTTTTTTCACCCTGGGAGGGATATCTCCATCAACCTGTCAGGATAATGGGGAGGATGACCAAACAAGAGTTAGGTTATCTTGAACTTGCAGGGGTCAACTGCTGGTGCTGGGTGATCAGGAGGTGTTCACAAAGCCCTGATCACAGCCTGGTCTTTACAGCTAGCCTTTCCTCTCTGGAACCAAACTGCCTCTTAAACAGAAGTACAGCAGATACGTGGATATTCTAGTTTGCTTTCTGGTACTGTGATAAAAAAAACACTCTGGGGGGCTGGAGAGGTGGCTCAGCAGTTAAGAACACTGGTTGTTCTCGAAGAAGACCTGGGTTCAAATCCCAGCACCCACATGGCAGCTAACAACTGTCCATAACTCCAGTTCCAGGGGATCCAATGACCTCTTCTGTCCTCCACGGGCATTGCACGAAATGGGTGCACTTACCTACACGCAGGCAATACAAGCATACACATAAAATAAAAATAAAGAACAAAAACAAAACAAAACAAAAAAACACTCTGACCAATGCCAGGTGTGGTGGCACGTGCTGTTAATCCCAGCACTCAGGAGGCAGAGGCAGGCAGATCTCTGTGAGATCAAGACTAACCTGGTCTACACAGTGAATTCCAGGCCAGCTGGATCTACAGAAGACCCTGTCTAAAAAAAAAAAAAAAAAAAAAAAAAAAAAAAAAAAAAAAAAAAGGGTTTATTTGGCTGACAGCTCAAAGTCTATCATCAAGGGAAGGGAAGAGCTGCAGCACAGACCATGGAAGACGGCTACTTACTGGCTTGCTCCTCCTGACTTGCCCCACTACCTTATACAGCCCAGGCCCACCTGCCCAGGGATGGCATTGCCCACAGTGGGGTGGGTCCTCCTGTATCAATTAATAATTAAGAAAATGCCTAACAGATATGTCCACAGGCCAATCCAATGAAGGTAGTTCTTTGCAGTTCCCTTTTCCCAGGTGACTCTAGTTGTGCCTAATTGACAAAAAAATAACCAGCACAATGGGCCATACCCAACAGTGGCAGCAGCATCCAAAGTGAATGACCCTCTAAACTCAGGTGCCTGAGTTTCTTGAACCTCAGATTCTTTGGGAAATGGGGTCAGTAGGTCCTACCTCACAGATGGTCTTAAGAATGAAATTAATTTCTTCATATAAAATTCTTTTTTTTGGTCTTTTTGAGACAGGGTCTCCCTGTAGCCCAGGCTGTCCTGGAACTCACTATGTAGACCAGGCTGACCTTGAACTCACAGAGATCTGCCTGCCTCTGCCTCCCAAGTGCTGGGATTAAAGGCGTGTGCCACCATGCCCAGCATAAAATTCTAAGAGGGGCTGGAGAGATGTCTCAGCAGTTAAAAGCACTGACCACTCTTGCAGAGGACCCACATGATGGCTGACAACCATCTGAAATTCCAGTTCCTGGGGATTCGATGCCCTCTTCTGGCCTCCATGGGCATTGCATGACATGGGTGCACTTACATACATGCAGGTAATACATTCATACACATAAAAAAATTTTTAAATTAAAAAAATAGGCTGGGTGTGGTGGTACACGCCCTTAATCCCAGCACTAAGGAGGCAGAGGCAGAGGCAGAGGCAGGCAGATCTCTGTGAGTTCGAGGCCAGCCTGGTATCCATAGCAAATCCAGGCCAGCTAGGGCTACAGGGAGATCCTGTCGCAAAAAGACCAAAAAGAAAAAAAAAAAAAGGTAAAATATTAAACAATTCTAAGAGCAATGCTACTGCACACAAAGCATGCAAAAATGTATGTTAATAGGAAAAATATTGCAGCTGGTTCTTAGGGCCTCTCCTGATCCTTTAGAACCTTCTCCTTGCCCTAGTCACATTGTGTTCCCAACACACTTGAGCTGTGGAAAATGACCACATCTGCCTTATTCATATCTGCAGGCCAGTATTAGGCTCTATATGCAGCACAAGGAACAAAGCTAACAGGGGCAGCAGGGTAACCACTGGTGGATGGTAACTGGGCAACTACAGCAGAGGGCAGCAGGGCCAAGGCTATTGGTGGAGGGCAGTGAGGTCAGGGCCTCTATCAAAGAATAATAGCTCACCATGACCTTGCGCAGCTTATAGTTCCTGGCACGGATGTCCTGCATCAGCATCTCAAAGGGGGTGAGTTGGAACTCGGTGGGCAGTGGGTTGAACTCCTGCTCCTGTACCTTTTTGAGCTTTACTCCATGGCGCAGCTCCCTCATAAGCTGAACCCACAGCCGGGCCTGACCCCAGAAAAGGAAAATGGCTTCAGTCCCAAAACATAGTCCTCCCAGCACAGGCCCTTGGGGATGCACTGTGCTCTTCTCTATCCCAGGTCAGAAGAAGCCCACATCTTACCCAGTCTGTGTGTCCCAGGTGGTCAAGCTCAGCCAGAGGCTTCTCTACCTGCGGCTCATCCTCCCCCAGCTTCTGCAGCATCTGAGACCATATGTCTGGTTAGTTTGGAGGTGACAGAGGTGGACACAGCATGGCCCTGCCAACCCTGTCCAGCAAGGGGCACATCCCACCACCCATCTACCACCAAGACAGCTAAAAGGAGGCACAAGGGCACCCTGGCCTAGGATTTGGAGCTTGAGAAAATCTGGAAAAACCACACTATGGCCTTGGAACTGCACAGGGTATTTTTTGCATCTTCTCTGGTGGCTTCTCTTAGGGAGGACCTGGTGAGAGCTTAGTACCCTCGTGGCACCTTCTCCCATCTGATCCACATAACTCAGAATGCATTGTCCTTCAGAGGTGACAGATGCAGTACAGAAGCCCCCATCTGTGAAGCACTCCCTGTTGCCCTTCAGATCTCAATTCACACAGCACTTTAGGGATACCCTAGCCATGCCTCAGGTCCACCCATCCTTTTGGCTAATCCATGGCTGCTTCTCTATGCATGACTGCATGACCCCTACTAGAGATCACTCCAGGGACCAGCCTCTCAGAAGCCAGCTGTTTCCTTAGCTGTTGCTGTAAGTCTGGGACCCAGCACAATGTGGCAAGTGATAGGTCTTCAAACATGGGTGGACTGAATAGTGAGTGGGTGACAGGATGAGTTACCAACATGTCCTGGAAGACATTCCCAGGTATGACGTGCTGACATTATGGTGTGGGCCCAGGAAAGGTGCCAGGGACTCAGGCAACTGGAAATTTGAGGAAAGATGCTGGACGCACTGCCTTGGTGGTTCTGGATCTAAATGGCAGCCTAGAGCTTCTACTTTAAATAACTCCCCACTCTGGAGAAGCATCTGCCCTTCAGCAACCCTGGACCAACCAAACAGAACTGGTTACCCTGGCTTTCACCTTAAGCTATTTGCCAAACTGTTTTAAGGCACTAGAAAATGTTGCCAATTTGGAGCAACATAGAATGTGTGATTCTAATAATAATCCTGGTGGCAGGCTCCTGGGGCAAGGGGCATGACACTGAGCACCTGCTCCTGACCAAAATGCCAGCCCAGAGTAGCCCAGGTATGTATCCCCAGGACCCTGCTCTCTGTATCCCCATCACTCATTCCCTGAAAGTCTATGGAGTATGGAGATCTATGCTCCTGCTAAAGCAGTAACTGCTTTTTCTGGGTGAGGAATTGATATGACCAACAAAACAGGCCATGTTTAAGGAAGGAAAAAAGCCCAAAGACCACTTGCCAGCCATGGGGAATGTTGCAAGAGTCTCTAAGATGCCAAGGAGGTGGTGGGGTTTGAAGGAGTGGAAATAGAGCATCAGATTCTGGGTATGGACAGGGGGACCTCCAAATCTTGGCATGTGATGGTTGCAGGTGAGAATCAAACTGGGTCCCAAACCCAATTATTGGAATATCCCTAACAGAAACAAACAACAAAAAAGAAATAAATATGACAGAAAGGCCTGAGAGCCTGCTCAGGCCCTTGAGAGGTCAGGAAGCTGGCTATAACCCTTCTAAGCTACATGAAAAGAGATAGGTACAGGAAAAGGCAGGGTGGAATCAGGGGCCAGCATCAATTAACTTCAAAATTCATTTCTGCCACCTAAGCAAGAGAGAATGACTTGAATCTCACCTGACCTCTTCCAAGTTCCCACCTTCATCAGTGAACCTGTTTAATGTTGACAGGTACTCAGAAACCCCATTTTACAGAAAGTGATTCCCTTTGAGTAGCAGGAATAACTCCTCCAAAAAGGGGTAGTGACAGTGGAAAGAAGTGCCAACCCCTAACTCTGGGTCAGGGAAGGGCAGGGTAGCCTATGGGGAATCCAGCTCAGGAACCATCCCTACCCTAATACTGGCTCTGTGACTGGGATGAGGGACCCTGTCTCTCAAAGGTAGCATCTGCTCATCTGTGAGATGGGGAACAACCAAAGAATGAGGTAGGGCTGTGGTAGGCACCAAAAAATGCCCTGCAGGGGTTCTCGCCAACCCCAAATCTCCAAGCCCATGGGCCTGTGTGGTTCTGAAGGGTAAGAAGTTGCTGTCTTAACATCATATTTTCAGAAGAACTGGGACTTGGTGAGGTCACCCAGTAGGCAGTAAGCAGACCTCCCTCTTGCAGAAATAAAAGTGGGATCAAGGAAGGTAACAACTAATTCAGTGGCAATAGGAGTGATGCAGTAGAGACAGAAGCTGGAAGCTGCTCAACTGACTCCCTTCTCTGAAAACCTAGTGAAAACAAGGCATGAGGTTAAAATGTATGAAGTCTTCAGGGCAGTGCCCAGAACGGGGCTGGAGGGGCAAGTTATGAATAATCCTAGGAAGCTGCAGAGATAGGAAGGACCTTAAAACCTCTGTTGGGTAGACTGAGGGTGGGTCCCATCACCTCCCCTACCTCCACCCTCACACACCCCTACCCCCACACCCTCCAGTATGCAGCCCATCATTCTGCTCACCTCTTTGGCCTCACGCACCCTGAGCAGGAAGGCACGAAGTTCCAGTGTCTCCACAAAGAGAGCTCGGCATACTGCCTGGTAGTGGGCCTGTGCACCACGGGGGTCAGTAAGGCGTGCAGCGCACATCTGCATGGCCTGGGCGAAAGTGCGCACAGATCGGGGGCCACCTTCAGCCTCCTCCTCTTCCTCTGGACCCCCGTAGCCTTCATCTGCTGCCCCACAGTTGCTGTCCTCGCAATCGCTGTTGGCCATGAGGTCAATGAGCCGCTCCAGCTGTGGGCTGAGCTCTCTCTCTTCACTCTCATCTAATCCCCAGTCCAATGCCCGGTAGATAGCGAAGCCCAAAGACTGCACCATCTGCAGGACAGAGATGCAGTATGGTCACTGGAGTCAGTATCCTAAGCCACAAAGGGCCGTAGGGCCAGCAACCAGTAGCCAGCAACAAAAGGCATAGAGATGCTACACAGAATGATAGTCTGGGAGAGGAGAGGTCACAGGGCAGCTAAGAACAGTGGTATAGAAACAGCTATCTCTCTGTCTGAGGGGACTCATCATGGTACAAACACAACGTGGACCAAACAGTACAGCCACTTTGGAAAACAGAAATTTTTTTTTAATTTTTATTTTATTTTTAATGTGTATGAGTGTATTGCCTACGTGTCTGTAAGTGCACCTGTGTTGTGCAATGCCCACAGAGGTCAGAAGAAGCTTAAGTATTTGAACACTTAGTCAATTATATAATAATTTTTTTATATAAGGTCTCACTACATGGCCCAGGCTGGCCTCAAATTTTTATTTATTTATTCGTATTTTATGTGCATAAGTGTTAGTCTGCAGTATACAACTGCACCTGTGTTGTACAATGCCTATGGAGGTCAGAAGAGGGCATCAAATTCCCTGGAATTGGAGTTAGGGATGGTTGTTAGCTGCCATGTGAGTACTGAGAACTGAACCTGGGTCCTCTGCAAGATCAGCCAGTGCTCTTAACCACTGAGCCATCTTTCCAGTCTCTGGCCTCAAATTTTTGATCCTCCTGTCTTAGCTTCCTAAGCACTAGGGATTATAAGCGTATGCCACCATGCCTAGAAATAATTCTACTTATGTATTCATTCATTTATTATTTATTTATGTATGTATGTATGTATGTATGTATGTATGTGCATGAGTGTTATGCCTACTTGTATATAACTACACCTGTGCTGTGCAGTGCTCGAGGAGGACAGAAGAGGGCACTGGATCCTCTGGAATTGGAGTTATGGATGGTTGTTAGCCCCCATGTGGGTGCTAGAATTGGAACCCAGGTCTTCTGCAAGAACAGCCAGTGTTCTTAACCACTGAGCCATCTCTCCAGCCCTATAATAATTCTTTTTTTAAAAACACATTAAAGGTCTTTTTTTAAGGGAGGAGGGCTGAGACAGGGTCTCTCTGTAGACCCAGCTGACCTGAACTCACTATGTAGACCAGGCTGGCCTCAATCTCACAGAAATCAACCTGCCTCTGCCTCCCGAGTGCTAGAATTAAAGGTGTGTACTATCACACCGGGACCACATTAAGGATCTTTGAGGTCTTGCTGTAGAGTCCTCTGAACTCAGTATTTCTCCATTCCACTTGGCACGGAACCCTGCCTTCACAGTTTACGGTCAGTGTCTGCAGAATGCAATGGAGGATGTTTCCTGGTGTTCACCATCCAGATACTACCTGCGCCCTGACTCTCCCTGACCACAGGCCCATGTGCCCCCCACCCACCCAACCATTGTCCTGTTTGCCTAGATAGAGGAGCATTACACTGGACCACCAGTACAGCTAAATACATAAGGGGAATAACAGTACCCCTAGTTTGTATAGCACTTGTTTTAAGGGGCTTTCATAAAACTGGGTGAGGTGATACAGGCCTATGATCCCAGCATTTGGGAGGCTGAGGTAAGGAAATCCTGGCCTTGAGGTCAGCCTGGGCTATATTATGAGAGACTCCCTCAAACCAAATAAATAAAATAAAAGACTTACAGGCTGGATTTAGTGACACAATCTTGTAATCCAAGTTACTCAAGAGGCTGAGGCAGGAAGACTGCAAGTTCAAGAGCCTGGACTACAGGGCAAGTTCCAGGCCATCCTGGGCAATTTAGTACGAACCTGTCTTAAAATAAAAAGGCACAGGAGCTGAAGAGATGTCTCAGTGGTTAAGAGCACTTGCTGCTCTTCAGGAGGACCCAGGTTCAGTTCCTAGTATGCACATGGTGGCTTACAACCATCTCTAACTCCAGGTCCAGAGGATCTGATATACTTTTCTGGCCTCCACGGGCATCAGGCACACACTTATACATTCGTGCAGGCAAAACATTCATACACTTTTTTTTTTTTTTTGGTCTTTTTGAGACAGGGTCTCCCCTATGGTCCCAACTGGCCTATGACTCAGTATGTAGACCAGGCTGGCTTTGAACTCGCAGAGATCCACCTTCCTCTGCCTCCCGAGTGCTGGGATTAAAGGTATGCGCCACCATACCCGGCTTCATACACATTTTTTTTTAAGCATAAACTAGGTCTGAAGATGTAGTTAAGTGGTAGAATACTTGTCTACAAGTACGCAAGACCCAAGGATCAATCCCCAATACTACTGAATGTCTTTTATATTTTCCTGTTATAAAGAGAATATTAGGGCTGGAGAGATGGCTCAGCAGTTAAGAACACTGGCTGTTCTTGCAGAAGACCCAGGTTTGGGGAGCTGGAGAGATGGCTCAGTGGTTAAGAACACTGACCGTTCTTGCAGAAGACCCAGGTTCAAATTCCAGCACCCACATAGCAGCTAACAACTGTCCGTAACTCCAGTTCCAGGGGATATGACCGCTTCTTCTGTCTTCTTCAGGCATTGCATGACATGGATGCACTTACCTACATGCAAGCAATACACGCACACACATAAAATAAAAATAAAATAATATTTTTTTAAAAAAGAGAATATTAAAGGTATATACATGCAAAAGTAACAGGTCTGCCAGGTTAGACACTGTGCTGAGCCAGTGAAAAATTCATCCCATTGAACCTGACAACAACCCACTGACACAGCCTCTCATTCATACGTAGATCTGACTTTCTGTGCTATGCTCTAAGCTTTGTGTCACACTGCTAGGCTGAGAGGGACTGTAGCAGATGGAACCACAGCCTCATCAGGTCACTGTCCACTCTCTGGAGCCACCTTGCCCCAGTGGCCTTTCCACTCATTTATGACTGACCTATCACCACTGGTATCCCAGGGAACATGAACCTGAGCCAGTCAAAATAAGAACAGGTGGAATCAGGCAAGGGATAAGGTTTGGGGTCCTGCAGAGATGTCTTGAGCCTGAAGGGTCTGGAAAAGGTAACCCTTGACTCAGGAGGAATGGAAGGAAGGGTAAGGCCACAGTAGAGCAAAGCCCCAGCCAACCCTCAGGGCAGCCCTCATCCTAGTCTTATTTTTAGGCAGGTTATAGTCACAGACTGGGTCCAAGGCACACCCTTGAATGTAGAGTGAGAGAGCATGGCAGCTAACATCTAATGGCTGGTCACACCTGACAGGTGGTAGACAGGGCTTTGGCCGGGGGACAGGGTAGAGGGCCCAATGACAGTGGAGTTTCCAGAGAATACCTCAGGACCAGTCCTAAGTATAACAATGAAAAAGGAAGGCTGGCAAGGTAAAGTGACAGAGGCATGGAAAGTCTCTAGTCTGCTTCAGAGCTCTGTGATGCTTAGTCATGTGGCACTAACAGGGTCTCCAATGGAAACCACATGACCCCATGGGGCAAGACAGACTTGTGAGAGGCACGTAAGGAAGCCCTCCAACCTCTTCCACCCTAGGATGCACATTGTGAAGAAGCACCCCAATCCATCCAGTCCTCCCTCTCTTTTTCCTGGTTTCTGGTCTCAACTAGCAACAAGTCAGAGAAAGGGTTAATTCCAGCCAACCCTCTTATCTGATAGCTGATGGCTGCTTTGGTAAAAGCTTTTCTGTACCCCAAGTTACTGGAAACTTTCTCTGAAAGGCAATGTTTTCCATAAGGAAAGCCTGGGCAGCTGGCCAGCCTTAGGACCTCCAGCCCTACACGTTCAGGCATGGCCAGGAGCCTGGACTTGCCTGTGACTGGCAATTAATGAAACCCAAGTAGCCAGAATGAAGCTTAAATGTTAAGTGGCTCCCCTTACCCTAGTTCCTGGGAATAGGGCTCTCAGGTTAACCTGTGGGCCTCTGAGAAGAACAGTCCATATGGGATTCCTTCATTCAAAGTTCCTTATAAGTATTTTTATGATGTTTAACAACAGCCAACATGCCTGGCTTTCCCTATTTACCTTTTTGTTTTATTTATTTTATTTTTCTATTAGTCCTTTCTCTCTTTTTTTGGTCTTTTTGAGACAGGGTCTCCCTGTAGCCCCAGCTGGCCTGGAACTCACTATGTAGACCAGGCTGGCCTTGAACTCACAGAGATCCGCCTGCCTCTGCCTCCCGAGTGCTGGGATTAAAGGCATGGGCCACCACGCCCGGCATCCTTTTATTTTTATCTTATGAGTGTATTGCCTGCATGTGTGTAAGTGCACTCATGTAATACAATGCCCATGGAGGTCAGAAGATGTTGGATCCCCTGGAACTGGAGTTACAGATGGTTGTTAGCCACCATGTGGGTGCTGGGAATCGAACCTGGGTCCTCTGCAAGAGCAGTCAGTGCTCTTAACCTCTTACCCACCTCTCTAGCCCTTTATTTTATTTTTTCAATGAATGATGTATCTGTTTGTTTTGCTTTTTTTTTTTTTTGGTGTTTAGAGAGATAGAGTCTGACTATGTAGCCCTGGCTAGCCTGGAACTCTCTATGTAGACCAGGCTGGCCTCGAATTCACAGAGATCCTTTGAAAAGTCTTTGGGTGGTAGGCAGCAGCTGCACTTCTGTGGACTCTGGACAGTAAGGGCCCGCTGAACTCGAAGCCCGGCAGTACTGTACTGAGAAATAAACTATCTAGAATATTATACAGCAGGAAACACAGATGTCTGACATCCATACAACAATGCAGATTATCTTTGGAATACAGGTTTTTCCTCCCCCAAATCTCAGCTAATTATACATAGAAAAATACTCACAAGCAACACTTAGCAGGGTTGCTTAGATGGCAACATTCCAAAGTGGCAGGGGTATTTTGTCACTGACGTTAAGAACTATGTGTGGTAGTAAGAAACAGCACACAGATTTTGGGCTGGCTTTATTGTTATTTTTACATAACAGATCGAATATCCTCTTGGTCTGTGCTGACCTCATCCTTGGAATGTCACTATGTTTAATATATAAATACAGGAGTTTCTTCCCTCCCTTCCTTCTTTCTTCCCTTCATTCCTTCCTAATTATCTTTCCTTTATTTTTCTTCAAAGCGTCAGTCTCCTAAGTAGCTGGAATTACATGTGTTTACCACTGCATCCAGCTCTATTAATTATTATTGTATCAAAATTATGGTTTAAAAAGGCAATGAGCCGGGTGTGATGGTGCACGCCTTTAATCCCAGCACTCAGGAGGCAGAGGCAGGAGGGTCTCTGAGAGTTCAAGTCCAGCCTGGTCTACACAGTGAGTTCCAGGACAGCTGGGACTACAGGGAGACCCTGTCTCAAAAAGACCAAAAAAAAAAAAGCAATGAAAAGCCAGGTGTGGTGGTGCACGCCTTTAATCCTAGCACTCAGGAGGCAGAAGCAGGTGGATCTCTGTAAAAATGAGGCCAACCTGGCCTACCCACTGAGTTTCAGGCCAGCTGTGGCTACAAGGAGACCCTGTCTCAAAAAGGCTAAATAAATAAATACAAAAAGGCAGCGAAGTCAGTATGGTGGTGCAAGCCTTTAATCCCTGCACCCCAAATGCAGAAAGAGGTGAATCCCTGTGAGTTCCAGGCCAACTAGTCTACATAGGGAGTTCAAGCCAGCCAGGACTACATATAGTGAGACCCTGTCTCAAAAAACAAATAAAAGATATAAGTGAAGTAAACAGATACATTACTCACTGAAAAAAATAAAATAAATAAAACAAAAAGGCAGGTAGGGAAAGCTAGGCATGTTGGCATGTGCCTGTAATCCCAGCACTTGGGAGACTGAGGCAGGAGGATCACTATACAAAGCCTCAGTCTCAGCTACATAGCAAGTCTGAGGCAAGCATGGATTACACAAGACCCTGTAAAACAACAAGGGGGTAGACAAATGGCTCAGTGGTTAAGAGCACCAGCTGCTCTTGCAGAGGATCTGGGTTCAGTTCCTAGCACCTACATGGCTGTAACTCCAGCTCCAAGGGATCCAATGCCCTCTTCTAGCTGCTGTGGGCATTGCATGCACCTGGTGTGCCTACATATATTCAGGCAAAACACTTAAACACATGAAATAAAAATAAATTTTAAAATTACACAACAACAATGAAAACAAACATCAAATTCAGACCATTTCCTCAGGCCAGTAGGTGGAAAGGAAGGAGACACAGGGAAAGCTTTGAGTTGTAGGCATTGGTCATTGGCCAGTTTCTCTTCTGTCCACAAAATCCACACCTAGCCCTGAGTTCCATGCCCTGTGAAGCCAACCTTGCAGACCACATCACTTTCTAGAGGGTCACAGAATGGGGCCAGCAACACTGTCTTCCTCATTCCCCTGGTATAGAAGTGGGATCAGTATCCAGGGCTCTGACCACACTAGATTCCTTACTGTGCCTGTCCTCTGTGAATGGCTTCTTCATCAACTCTCCTTGGTTAAAATCTGTGTGTGTGTGTGTGTGTGTGTATGTGTGTGTGTAATATTTATTTACTTCTATTTTATGGATATGAGTGTTTGCCTGCAATATGCATGTGCATTTTGTACATGCCTGGTACTGGCATAGGTCAGAAGAGGGCATTAGATTCCCTGGAACTGAAGTTACTGATGGTTGTGAGGGGCCATGTGGGTGCTGAGAACTGAACCCAGGTCCCTTGCAAGAGTAGAAAGCGCTCTTAACCACTAGGTCATCTCTCCAGCCCACTTTTATGTATTTTATCTGTGTCTTGCCTTACTGACACAATTCTATAACTTTGTATACATTATGACTTACATTATGCAATACAGGCAAATTTTATTATGCATCAAGTAATATAAAATTGCTTTTAAATACCTGGGCTTCTGAGCTGGCTGGTGGTACCACCATGGTTGTGGGCTCTGCAGGAGAAAACAATCAAGGTTATATTGGAAGCCCCGGGACCCTGACAGACAAGACTGTTCACCCATTCTCCCTAAGCTCCATCTCTCCAGGACACACAACACACCCCCAAAGTAACACTAGAAAGCTCACAACAGGCTGAGCTACCTGATCCTTTGAATAGAAACCTCAACGCCTAGTTTAAGCCAGTTCTGGGAAAGACTCAGGCTACAGATCCAAAAGTGATACAGACCTGTTCTCAGATACGTGATGGTCCCCTGGTCTATGACGATGGTGCAGGGGAGAAAGTTAAGGCTGGGGGAGAGCCAACAAGGTCCTGCAACTGAGGACAGCTGCCATGAAAGAAGATGCTCAGCTGTCACTGCAGGGAAAACCCATGACCTGAAATGGGTACTCCAGTTCCCCAGAGCCAAGGTCCTGTGCCCCAGGCCACAGCAGGCAAATGAAAAACCCTGGTTCAATGGTTAAATAAACCCATTTCAGATGGCAGCCCCTTGGTTTGGGGTTTTTCCAATGGAGCTTCTCAAAGAAAGAGTCCCTGGGTTAAAGGGCAGGTAGAAGCTGGACTCTGTTTTATTTACTAAACACATCACTGATAAATACCAAACAGTGAGTTAGCATTTTCAAGAACTCATGTATCCTAGCTACCAACCAGGAGGCAGATAGCTCCAGCACCCATTTTACAGATGAAGTGATGCAGGCAAAAGGGTAAACCCCTTGGCTCCAGCCTCTTCTGTCCTCCACATTGCATGACACTGGTGCACTTACCTACCTGCAGGCAATACACACAAATACATAAAATAAAAATAATAAATAAAAAATATTTAGCCAGGCGTGGTGGTACACACCTTTAATCCCAGCCCTTGGGAGGCAGAGGCAGGCGGATCTCTGTGAGTTCAAGACCAACCTGGTCTAAATAGTGAGTTCAAGGCCAACCTGGTCTACATAGTGAGTTCCAGGCCAGCTGGGGCTACAGGGAGACCCTGTCTCAAAAGGACCAAAAAAAAAAAAAAGAGTGCTAGGAACTGAACCTGGGTCCTGTGCAAGAGCAGCAAGCACTCTTAACCACAGAGCCATCTCTCCAGCTCCCCCCACACCCTTTTTAAGTTTTAATTAATTTTTATTTTATGAGTGTTTTGCCTGCATATATATGTAAGTGTACCCCTGTCATGCAATGCCTGAAGGGGCCAGAAGAGGATGTTGGATCACCTGAAACTGGACTTAGGAGTGATTGTTTGCCATCATGTGGGTGCTGGGAACCAAAACCTGGGTCCTCTGCAAGCGCTTTTAACCACAAGAGTGCTTTTAAGCACTGAGTCGTCTCTCTAGTCTTATTGTTTTTGGTTTTGAGACCAGGTCTCAGCAGGTAGCCCAGGATGTCCATGAGCTCATGACTTTACTGCTTTCCCAGGGCTAAGTGCTGCCTTTCCAGTACTGGGATTAAAGGTGTGTGCCACTACACCCAGCTTCCATGATTTCTTCCCTTCTTAGGAAGAAACTGGAGCTCAGGCAGATTAAGATACTTAAGACCATGAAAATGATAAATAATGGAGATTGGACAAGGGGTTCTCATTATGTCTGTCATGGTAGGAGCTGGAAGCAGGACACCCAGTTTCCATCAGCATCATTTCCTGAGTTCTGCGGCCTCAGACTCAGCTTAGAACTCACTTCACCAGGAAGTGCATCCTCATCAAGAGAAGATAGCCACTCCAAATTCTTTTGTTAAAATAACAAATAAAGGCTTGGCATGGTGGCACATACCTTTAATCCCAGCTCCTGAGAGTCAGAAGCAGGCAGATTTAGGAGTTTGAGTCCAGCCTGCCTCATAGTGAGGTCCAGGCCAGCCAGGGCTACATAGTGAGACACTGTATTAATTGATGATTGATTGATTGATTGGTTGGTTGGTTGATATGACAGATTGATTGATAAATAGACAGCAAATGAGAACTCCAGAAGCCAGAGAGAGTTCTCATTGAAATGATCCTGTGTCTTGAGAATAGGAAGATAGATTTCATGTAGACAAAAGCAGCCTGTGGCTTCTGCAGCTCTAGCCCCTAATCCAGAAGGAGCTTCCAGGAAAGAAACATCTGCCCTACCTGGCACGCCAATCGTAGAAGGAGGAACTTGGCAGCCTGAGCCACCATCTGCCTTTGGGGAGCCAGCTGGCATCTGAGAGAACATGGTCAGATTCTGACCAGTCCATGGTTATCAGGCTGCAAGTGTCTGACTTCACTTCCTTATCTGAAGGACAGAAATGGCACCTGCCCAGCTGAACTCAGGGTGTCACCTCAAGGAAGAAATGAGGTAACAGACACAGAGATGGTTCCTAAAGTGCTATACCCAAAGGATGTGGCAAGCCGGGTCATGCAGTGGTGCAGAGTGGGACAACAGAACCTCCTGCTTTTACTCCCTTTTGGGTTTAGGGTCAAATCAGGGTTGGCTATGAGGGAACCAATGCAGTCTAAAAGATATGGTTCCCCTTTACTCAGCTGAAGGAGACTGCATGTTTTAGGGCGGCCTCTCCCTACACAAGGTGCACCCTTGTCTGGAATCCTGAGAGCTCCCTGCCTGGGCAACATAGAAAAGACTGTTTCAAATAAACAATCCAAGTAAGGTATCTTTTACACTGAGTTGACTTAAGGCCCTCACTGAGGGGAAAAGCAGAGGGTAGCCCCTGAATTTAGAAGGGGTACACATGCCTATGTACTAGTATCTACAAGAAACCCTCACATTGTTGGCAGCCTGTGAGAAAGGAGGATGGACAGGTGACGAAAAGACTCCCCCAAGGTCTTCCCTTTATACCTTCTGAATTTGGAGTCGTTTGGATCTTCCAGAGTCAAGAAATCAATTTGGGCAAATGAAAGCATAGCAACCACTTCATCATCCAGGTCAAGGTGCAGCCTGGAGTTCTGGAGCCAAAGGCTGTGTGACCTTGAGCAACAGCAGTCCCCAGTCATAAAAGGGATATCACCTACCATAAAGGTGCTTGTCAGGACTGAATGAAAACACACCCAGTGTCTGGCACTTAGTAACTACCCATACAGGCTTCTTCCAATGTCAAGACATGAACTGTAAAACTGAGTAATAACCAAGGCTAATCTGCCTTGGAAACCAGTGAAAGCCAAGAGGGAGAAACGCCCACAGGAAGCCACAGAGTCAGAGTCTTGTGCTTGTTTAGCAAACAGAGGGCTCTGTGGGGCAAAGGGATACAAGTGTGTCCCTCCTTTTGCTTCCGCAAATGGGTGGTGACTGATCCCAGAATTGAACTCAGCAGGCTTCTTGAAGCACTCATGCACTGTCCACACACTGCTCCCAGGAAGTATCTTCCTGAAGCAGGAACCCGGTCCAATAGGTGCCCATCTGGAGGTGATTGACATCAGCAGTGCTTGATACTAAGTCCTGCCAAGCCTGGAGGGATTATCTGACAAGGGGTGGGCCTGGCTTCTTTGCTCCTGTTGCATTTCCACATCCAACCCCTGGGGACATATCTGAGAACATCACCAAGAAGACCTCACCACTGGTTCCAGCAGGAAGACAGAGTACATGGAGTTGACAAGATTAGATTCCAGGACCAGAGAGATGGTTCAGCAGGTAAAAGTGCTTGTCATGCCTGACAGCCTGAGTCTGATCTCTAGAACTACAGTAGAAGGAGAGAACCAATTTCTGAAAGTCGTCCTCTAACTTCAACATGTATGCCATGGCACATTTGTGCTTACACTCACACACATCACATAGTAAAAATAGTAAGTAAAATAATTTTTAAAATATTTTTATCATTTTTATTTTATGTGTATGAGTGTATTGCCTGCATGTAGGTAAGTGCACCCGTGTTGTGCAATGCCCACGAGGACAGAAGAGGCCATTGGATTCCCTGGAACTGGAATTACAGACAGTTGTTAGCTTCCATGTGGGTGCTGGGATTCGAACCTGGGTCCTCTGCAAGAACAACCAGTGTTCTTGACCCCTGAGCCATCTCTCCAGCCCCAAACTCCCTCTTTTTAAAAATTATTTTACTTGGGGCTGGAGAGATGGCTCAGCAGTTAAGAACACTGGCTGTTCTTGCAGAAGACCCAGGTTTGAATCCCAGCACCCACATGGCAGCTAACAACTGTCAGTAACTTCAGTTCCAGGGGATTCGACAGCCTCTTCTGTCCTCCGTGGGTACTGCGTGACACGGGTGCACTTACCTACATGCAGGCAATACACTCATACACATAAGATAAAAATAATAATTTTTTTTAAAAAAAGAGGGCGTCTGTATTCCTTTAAAGGGCGGGGGGACATTGGTGAGATGGCTCAGGGGGTAAGGATGCTCTCTGCCAAGGCTGACAATCTCTTTGATCCCTGGAACCCACATGGTAGAAGGAGAGAACTAACTCCCACAAGTTGTGCTCTCTGACCTCCATTGTGTGCCATGGTCTGTGCATATACATACACATAAATGTTTAAAAAAAAAAAGATTAGATTCTAAATGAGGTATTCTCCCCATGGAGACAACCAGGAGCCACTTGGTCTTCACTCTTGTCCCAAAATGTTACTCCAGTCTATGATGCCAAAAGAGGGTAGTGAACTTGCCCAAGGTCACTGAAGTAAGATTGAACCCTGGACTAATCCAATTCTAGGCTGACACCCAGACTACAAATTGTTCTCTTCACTGACATCTGAATCTCCTGAAGATGAAACAGGTCACTTGGCACTGAAAGTGTTCTTGTTAGAGCTAGGGGACGATTCTTAGGGCTAAGGTATATAGAATCTAAATACAACACACCCACCAGCAGCGTTGGTGTTGCTGGGGAACTTGTCACCAATGTAGATTCTTTTTCCAGGCATGGTGGCACACACCTATAATCCTAGTACTTGGAAGGAGGAGGCAGAAATATTAAGAGTTTAAAGCCTGCCTCAGCTATGTATCAACTTCAAGCCCAAGCCTGGGTTAAACAAGACGCTGTTTTAAAAAACAAAACGACCGGACTGGTAAGATGGCTCAGGGGTAAAGGTA